AACTACATCGATTGTTAAGAAACAATGAGTCTTATATAATTTTAGTTGTCACGGCTTTCAGAGCAACATAAAAAATTTAATTTATTACGGTACTAACATGCGTAAGTGTAAAATAAAAAAGAATAAGTGATAAATTATTTCTATTTCTAATCGAAGATTAAATTATGCTTTTATAGTCTTTCAAATTGAAAAAGCGTACATTGTTTGCTCATGTTCATTATATATTCAAGTATAAGTGACTTATTCAGAGACTGAATTAAAATGACTATGTCAAGAACTAGAGAGATAATGAAAATCAATTTCCATAATGATATTCACATGAAAAATTTCCAGAAGTGAATCTTAAGAAATTTATACAAGTGTACTAGCTACATTTTTGTATAGCGTATGATTAGATGTTTATGTCGTAAGCGAAATGAGATTTTTCCTTTTTCTTTTATTGACAAATTATATTGCGTTGTTATGATTTACAATACAAAAATGAAATTATTACTCAAAAATATAAAGGAGTGTTTAGGAAATCACGAAAATAAACATCTAATAAAAAAATTATTCGTTAAAGTAGAGCAATTAACGAATATAGAAGAATAATAATTACCCCCATAACATTTTCTGCAAAAATTGACCATAAATTATATTTGCAAATGAAAAACATACTGTTCCCAATTCTGTCACTTCTGTCAATATACAATAATCGGCAGAATATACATGCAGGATGGCAGCTATCAGTAGCAACGTATCAGTACTGAACGTTTTGTTGATAGATTGATGGAAATACCAAACAGTTTTGCCATTGCAAACAGCTGCGTTAGTAAATGTCTTGCAAAAATGCAAAATGTATGTTTTACAGTAAACGGATTCTGAGTTTGTTGTGTCAATCTGTCGTCGCATTGTTATTGTCAGATCTTCTCTGGCATTGTCAATTTTATTGTAGAATATTTTTTTTAGATTTGGTTCATATTGGAGACTAACTGAGGACACAATAGTATGAAGTTGGCCTCCCCTTCATAAAATATAGCTTTCCAGATTGCGTAAGTCAATCAATTATTAATACTTTAATTAATTTATTAATTTTGATTACAAGTAGTTAAAAAACAAAATTTAAACGATGTACTCTCAGAAACATATCTTTAGCAAATACAAATTATTATTCTTGCAAAACTATGTAAAATGTGTTTTTATTTGCACTAAAAAATTAGCACCTTATTAACGTATAATAATTATATTTTATGGAAATATTTCTGAGAACGAAACTTTTGAGAAAAAACTATTGGCAAAGTTAACCAACCAAGGTTCCCATGCATCAGCTGCTGTTGGTAATATTGCTCGATATATTGGCGGCCAAAATTCATTTACAAAATTTACGACAATTTCATCTGAAATTAAAAATGTAAGAATGTATTCTAGATAACAAATTAATAGATATAAGAATAAATATAAGTAGATAATATAAAATGTAATTATAGTTACAAGATAATGACCTTTGTTTTATATTTGCAAAAATAGGCACAATAAATAGAAATTGAGTTAGAAAAAGTGATAAAATATGACTCTAATTTATAAAGCATTTTTAACTCTTTTAAAACTTTGCTTTTAAATCAGTAATTGATTTTTTTTTATTATCATTATTTGCAATATTAAGTTATCCTGGAATTCCTTTGACATTTTAAAAAGACAGAATAAAATTTAAGTTAAATTTATAAATTATAATATGTAGATATTTATTTGTATATTACAGCATTTATTAATGTATTACTATTTTTAATGTTTGTGAACAAATCTGTAATACGAAATACAGATTATTAATTTGTAATTAAATAATCCCAAACACTTTTATTAAAATAATGGGATTTACATAGATTTTAAATATTAAATATATTTACATAAATATACATACATATCTTCTCTCAGTAAATTTGATGCGTCCTTAAAAAATTAGCAATAAAATAAAGTTATATTTAAATTAATTTTATACTTACTTAATTCTTTGCCCTCTAATATATCGTCGAAATATATTTCAAACTTGCTAATTGTCGGTATAACACGGAAACGTTCTACAATCCATGTATCGTTTATTACATGCCCTGTTAAGTCCCATGTTGTTCTGGCATCATCGGCTGTCGTATTATAAGTACCTTTTACATACATTACAATACAATATTATTAGTATATATTTAAAGAAATTTTTGAATGAAATATTCTTAAAACTGCAGTATTTTAAAAATTATTTGTATATTGTTTATTTAAGAATAAAACTAAATTATGAAACAACATAATATATTTAACTTATAATTATAAATTTTGTAGAGAAATAGATTTTAAATAACAGAGTTAGGTTTAAATATATAATATAGTATACAAATGTCTTTATATAGGTATGAGATCGGAAGAGCACACGTC